AAGCGCAAAAAAACAGAATAATATTATTTGATAAGTTAAAAATAAGGATAAAAATAAAAATTGGAAAAAAATAAATGAAAAGCAGAAAATAAAGAGTTTATAATTAGTAATATGCATTTTTCAAAGATTTCACAAAATTTTGTCCAAAAATGATTATATTTTCTACTATCAATTAATTATTCAGTTCAAATCATAAATATTTTAGTTAAAAACAGTGTTAATATGTCATAATTCATGAGATGAGCATAATTATGCGAAATTTCGTTCAAAACATTTCAATATTTAAAATTTTTCTGTATTTTATTTTTTTTAACTGCATATTTTAATTTCCATATGAGTGAATCATTTCAAATGATAAAATCATTCAAAACAATATCATTAATAAATACAATAACTTCTAAATACAAATTAAAAATTAAAAAGTAGTGAGTGAATGCTTTAAATTCCACATTGAGATCAAATTTGTCCTTAAACTTTGAAATTAGGTTTTGAAATTTTTTTAATTTCAATTCAAAAATTTGACTAATTATAACGAAATGTAAGGATTTTTTTGTAAGCTGAATGTGCATATAAGCTTACTATGCCGAATTTACAAAAAGTTATATATTTTCTTTTCCGAATTACGATTATTTACAATCATTATTTATTCAATCGACGTAACGCACATTACGTGAAACTGAAAAAAATTATTATCAATAAAGTAAATACGTGGGAAATATCTACAAAAAGAATAAAATTCATATTAAATTTCATCTATTTAACTAAAATAATATTTTTTATCATAACAAATAATTTTTCACAAATATCGCATCAGCGATTTGATATTTTTTATCCTAATTATATTTGTTGAATTAGATTAATAAATAACACTTCTAAAGTATTTATAATAGCTTAAAAATTGGTCAAATTTAAAACATATTCTATCCGAATGGTTTATTCATTTTAAAACAATGATAATTTTAAAGTAAACAAAATTTTTCAGCTAAGCTAAATTGAAAATTACGGAAATGAACGATTAAGTTAATTGGTTTGTTTGTTTTTTATTTTCTTTTTTTGCTGTTATACTCAATGATTCACAGTTTTGCTCTCCTAAAAAAAGCCTAAAGTAATTTTTATCCCAATTCCTTTTTCCTTTTTTTTTTTTTTTGTTCAATCACATCGCTCTTTTTTTTTTTGTATTTATAATATTATTTCAATTTTTTGATTTGTTATTTCATTTCCTATTTGTTTACACATTTATTTCATTTCTTATTTATTCATATATTTTTGCATCCTAACATAATATCCTTCTTATGGGATCATTTAAAACTTTATTTTTGTTAACAATATTTTCATCTGCTTTTTAAGAACACTTTTGCTATATTTAAACAATCTTTTTACTCGATTTACCTTTTCCCATTCAATTTCTAGCTCTATTTAGTAAGAAATAGACTAAAATGCAGTTTTAATTTGATATTATCGACATTAACATCGTGTCTATTTGGATATTAATTCAATCAACTAAAATTTTTTCAACTACTTAGATTTTTGAAAATAGCTTAATAAACATAAAGATTATTACAAGGTTCTTTAAGACAAAATAGACTGATGTATGAATAAAAGAAATTAATCAAATTTCGATAAAAATGAAGGATTTCCCACCTTACCTCACTGCAAATAAACTTACCATTTAATATGTACTTTGAACAGATCTGACTATATTTTTGCACGTTAATCACTATCTTTTTTTAGGAAAATTTTGAAACCAATTTGACGAAATGTGTGTTTCAAAGGAAACACATTTTTTTTGTTGAATATCTAGTATATATGAGATGAAAAATTAAATTATCTATTTGCACTTTTTAACTTCATTATTTTATGCATTTTTATTTTAACTTAATGATAACTTCATTTTGTTGTTAATATATATATATATATATATATATATATATATCAAGAAAAAATAGTAATATAAGGTTAATACCATTCAATTACTGTAGCGATATTCTAGTACTAATAAAAGTTTTTATTTTAGTTTAATAATATATATATATATATTATATATATATAAGATAATCTTGAGAATTTATTACAAAAATAAGATACAATTTTGACAAGAATGATACGAGTCACATATAATTACTGTAGCAATATTGTAGCGTTAATAAAAACCTCAAACAATGCAGAAGATGAAAAATGAAAATTCTAAAGGATTACAGATGATAGCAGTAATAGTTGTCTACTTATTAGAACAAAAAACTAAAAATAAATAAATAAATAAACGAAATAAATAGATATGGTAAAACAAGAAAATTACTTATGCGCCAATTCTAATCTTCTGTTCCGCCCGCCCATCTTCATTCTCTGTATTGTAATGTTGGAAGTGTTAAATCCCACGGGAAATCCTTTAGAATATTTAATAAGAAAAAGAAAAAATTGAAAATATTCTTAATATTCTACTTCAGTCATTTATTTCCATTACTAACCTTTTTTATCATTATCATTAGTTTGCTACAAGCTAAGCTTATTACGTTCATAATTACTGATAAAATTTTTTTTTAATTTTCGTTCTTTCTTTCTTTCTATCCTTCTTTTTTTTTTTTTCTCTCTCTCCTTTTTCGTCATCTCATTTCAATAGATATGCTTCATTTTAATGGTAATATCTAAAAAATCACATATTTTTTTTTTAGAATAAGTTAAATATAAAAAAAAGAAAAAAAAACAACAAAAGAATAATTTCTTATTTAACATATTGATTGATGTAATTCCTTTTTTCTTCTAATTCCTCACCCTCTCTCGCTCTCTCCTTCTCTTCATCTTTCTTTCACCAAATATTTGAGGATATTACTTTATCTAACATTATTACTTCAATTTTTTTCTCTTTCCTTTTTTCTTTCCCTCCAACATTTTAATTAATTCAATGTATTGGAAATGAAGATTGTAATTATCAGTGGGAATGACATGACAACAGCAACATTATCTCTGAAATGTCAATTTTTTTAAATAATCGAATGACAAGTAATCCAAATAGAATTAAAAAATAAAAAATAATTTCCTATTTTAATATATCATAAAACGGACAATTCACTGCATAGATTAAAATCAATTTTTCCATTTTTTTTTTCCAACATTATTATGAATCGGAATTTGTAATAAGCTTTCAGTATTTTAAAATTTTAATTTTAGTAATACATCCCAGTAATGTTAACTGCTTGTGAATAAAAAGGGCTAAATTGATAATCGCTTATTCATTAAAAATATATGCATATAAATGTTACACTTAATTATACATGAAAAAAAAAAAAAAAAAAAATGAGACGTTAAAAAGAAATAGGAAACTGAAAAAACCGAGTTCAGATTGGTGGTAGTATTATTTACTATTATAATTTATATGCTATCAAATAATTTACAGGTCGAAATCTAATCTATAATTTAAGAAATATGTGAAAATGCTTCTGTACTTCTTTTTTTTTTTTTTTTCAGATAACAAGAGGATTGTTTGCCCAATGTTTTTGCATATTATATTAGCAATCCACTTTTTTTTTCTTTTTTTGGAAATATAAAATGATTGATTACCGAAAATCATAGATATTAAATAAGCAATCTAATGATACATTTTATAATGGATTCATTAAAAATAAAAATTAAACAGTTATGAAAGAGTGAGATGAAATTAAACAAACAATTTGATAAGAGAAAAGCTAAACGCATTTGGTAAGCAAAACATATTTCAAATTTTTCCTATTTTTTTTTTTTTTTTTTTCAGCAAAAAATTAATTAACTAACGTCTTGAAGTCATCAAATATGAATTTCAATAAATGAATAAAAGAGGAAAAGGAAAGAAAAATGAGTCAAAAGATTGCTTATTTGTTGCTATGTATATCATATCTTTGCAACATTTTCAACTTATTTTTCCTTTTTCCACATCCATTCAACATATGTATTTATATATACATTATTTTAGTTATAAATATTCGAATTATTATCAAATACTTGAATGATTACAAGCATACATATATATGAGGGAAAATTTATAACTAATTAATGATTATATCTTTAATTAAATTAATCTTTTGTACAGCACTTTCGTTCCAAATAATAATTTTTTTTCTTAAGAAATGCCAAATAATTTTTTCTTAAGAAAAAACGTAAAAATTGAACTAATACTTTCTTAGCGCAATTTTGTTTTACCATTATAGATTTTCAAGTACTTATGCTAATTAGCTAGCACGATATTAATCAAAAATTAAATAAAAAAATAAGTAAATAAATGTTGACAAAAATAAATCATCAAAGGCATGCATATGTGCAAACAAAAGACATTAACAATTAATTAATGATATTTAATTATGTTAAGATATCATCTAAAAATTTTTTTTTAAATTGCTAAAATTAGAAAAAAAATTCCATAATATTTTATAGAAAGTGAGAATTCAGCAACTGCTGTTTTTATGAATGACTTCATGCTATTCTGATGAAATGAGATCAGATTTCGAACTTCCTCAACTGACTTTAATAATATAAATAGATCAATTGTCACGTAGTACCAGAAATAATAATAATAATAATAGTACGAGAGACTAAAATTGCCTAGTATTTTTTTTGCAAATATAATAATTTTAATATCCGATATTTCTATATAAGTAATGTAATTTCGCCTATTTCCATCTTATAGGAAGAAAAATTACTTCATTAATTTTAAATGATTGCAATTTTTAATCAGTCCGAAAGTTTGCACAAAAATTTCAGCCAGAAATATAAAAAAAAAAAGAACAATTAAAGAAAATATTCAACTTAGAAAAATATTACAATAAAATTTTAAAGCAAATTTTAAAAATAAAACTTTAGTAGCTTTAATAGTTGCAAATTTTAAAAAAATAAAATATTATATCACTCATTATAAAATCATACCTTAATATATAATAGTATGCCATTTAAATTTTTTGTTAAAATTAAAATTTTCTGATTTATGAAAAAATTAAAAAAGAAAGCAAAATTTCACTTTCTTATAATTGACTTACTGCGATGACTGCGTAGCTTCCTTGATTTTCGCCATTAATAAGGCGCATGTTTTGGCATCGCTCACATCCACAACTCTGAAAATTTGATGATAATTTCAATTTACAGTTTTCTTTCTTTTTTATTTTTTATCAATTAAATTTAAAGTTTAACACACTATTATTTTTGACGAAATTAATTTAATTATTCAAATTAAAGGAATACTTCATGCGGAGAATAAAAATGAAAAAATAAAATGAACAGAAGAAATGGTTTAAGAGTTTTCTATTTTTGACATTATAAAATCCTTAGAAAAAAACTTTTTGCCAACTAAAAATTGATGGAAAAGAAGGAGAAAATGGCAAATTTTCCCAAGCATTTCTTAATGTTTCCGAAATTTGCTCTACTTAAGCAATAATATTTCATTTAGATGCCATAAAAGCTACTTATTTATTTGCTTATTGATTAAAACCGATGTATGAAAATTAAAATTAAAGTTAAAAAGATTTCAAGATATTTGTTTGGAAACATAGATAGGAAAAAAGAATTTAGTGCTGGAATGAAAAAAAAAAAAAGAAATCATAAATACATTAAATTGAATAACTTTGTTCTGATTAATTTTCGAAGAGAGAAAATAAAAACAAAATGGAAGGAAATTTGCTAAGTAAAAATGAAACAATAACAAAAAAAAGTGATTTCAATCATTTTCAAACATTCGATCCATTTTTCTTCTCTTTTTTGCTTGTCTGGCTAAAAACTAGACCAAAACCAAGTTAAAAAGAAATGTCTTTTCAAATATTACCATTCAACAAATAAATGCATTGCTCAAATTACTTTTTTTTGCTCTTAATTACTTCAAAATCTTTAGTTTAACTTCAATAATCATCGATTCTAAATTATCGATTGAAGAAGAAAAGGAAGGAAAAGTTGTTAAAATTACACCTTCAATGAGAAATGTTATTTCACAAATTTTTTTAATATCATGCGGAATTTAAAAGTGAGATTACTTTCAAAAATGTGAAAGTTGAAGAAAATGAAGAGAAAGATGGCAACAAACAAATTTAAATTATATTGGAAAATTCAAAAATCAAATTTAAAATTGAAAAATTGTTCAAATTTAAATTGAAAAGATGAAAACAGGAAAAAAAAAGTTTATTGCATTTTTACTAACATTTCATACAATGAGTGCAATATATAATAGTGCATAAAATTTGTTAAAAAAAAAATAAAAAAAAAAAAGAAAACTTAAAGAAAAATCTATTTGCGCACACAAACCTATCACATATATTTTAATGCAATATATTATTTACATTTATTCTGCCTTAAAATGCATTTTCATTATAACAAGTTGGCTTTAAAAAGCATGAAAATGTCACATAACGTTACTAATTTTTATTAACTTATTAATATTTGAATTTTGATTTGCTTTTTTCCCTCATTAATATTTAGATTTTGCTTTTTTTTTTTTTTTTTTTTGTTTCTAACATCTCCTTTTTTTCTTTTTCACTAGTAATATAGAAACTGAACATAAAAAAAGGCGATACGAATGATATGATTCAAGATTGCGACAGATACGGCAATTTTCCACATCGTTTCATCTTCCATCCTTACGATGGAACACAATATAATATCAATCGATATGATAGGATACAATATAATACGAAATGATACGATGCATCATCATACCATAAGATACCATAAGCTGTGACATTAACGTCCATTTTTGCATTTTGGAATGAAATATCTGGGATATATAAGAAAATTATGTGACATAAATAATGCATGAATACTAGTAAATGGCATAAATAAAAATAATATATATTAATTAAACAAATAAAAGAAACAAATAAAATTTGGGAAATAAAACAGTTACAGAAATAAAAGATTAGGTAATTATCAGATAGCTGAGATGATATTTTTAATAAATATTTTCAAATATTGACACAAAAAGGAAAGAAAAAAAAAAAAAGGTATGAAGATTAAAAGGCAAAAATGGAAGAAAGAAAATCAAGAAAAAAAGTGAAAAATTAAGAAAAAAATGAAAAATTTTTAAATGAAAAAATTCAACAACTAAGCATCAAACAGTCAATTAAAAAAAAAAGAACTTGACAAAATGTTTAATGAAATAATAGTTTATTTTAAAACTAACAATAAACTCAATTGAAAAAGTGATTAAATAAAAATGTAAATAGAGAAAGATTTGTTTAACAGATAGGTAAATAAGATAAAAAATGTAAACAAATATGAATGATCAATCGTTTTGCTAATATTCAAAATATATTGCAGTTTGACCAGTTGGAATAATGGAAAACTTTTTGCGAACCTTTCCATCAAATTGAAGTAATCAGAAGATGTCGTTATGAGGAATATCATTCAAAATGAAAATGATTAAAGTCTTTTTTAAATGTAATGTTAAGAAAGTGAAAAAGTTGATTATGAATGGATGAATAATTTTACTCTTATCTCTTGCCTTTAATTAAGTGTGGGCATAAAATTTTTGAACTTCTACTTAAAACACTGATATAAAACAAAATCGTATAACTAAAGTAAAGTATAAATAATAACCATAACGAAGAGACAACATAAGTGATAATGACAATGATAGAATGTTCATAAATAAGATAATGATAACTATAACCATAATCCTAAGAATTTTTTTGTAATAATTACATAGGTAATGAGATCAAAGAAATCTCAATAACAATATGATTATTAGATAATGATAAGAAAAGATAAAAATTCCGTTAGTTTGAAGTTTGACTAAAGTAATAAGAATTGGAAAAAAAATTCAGTTGCAAGTAGAACAAAAATATCAGATTTAACGCATTTTATAACAATAAAAAAGTAATTGCAAATTATTCGAAATTAAAACTTGTTATTTTACATATGCATGCATTGTCATATTTAATTTTATTTTAAGACACATTCTCCTATCCAACTGATGACTGGCTATTTGACCTTTCTTCTATACTTAATTAAGACTAATGACAAGTTACTAGGCGAGAAATAGATTAAAATGAAACAATATTGTTATAACAGGCGATAAAGAACGCAATAAGCCAACATTTTGAGCATTTTTTTTTTTGTGAAGGAAGTGATAATGTGGAAAATGAAAAATGAGTGGCCACGATATTATTAAAATTTATAATGACTAATTACTGAATAACTATGAAATAAATATTTCATTCGTCAATAATGGATGCAAGGAAGAATCGATGATTTGACGATTATTTGTTATTTCAAGCAAAACCGTAAGATGAAAAAGTTCGATAAGTAGTAGATGCCACATAAGCTAACCGATAATTAAGGGAATTTGCTGCTTTGAAGTGTTGTTTTTATCTATTTTATGCAAACAGTTAAAGTAAGTATTGATAGTTATGGCACTTCCTTTCATTAACAAAGATATGTTTAAGCCAAGTGATATCAATAATGATGAGTTTAGGCTAGGTGATAATGAATTTTCGATTCAAATATGCAATTAGTTTTGCACCAGCTTAGTATGCTATTTCCTATTTTCTCCTATTTTCTATTTTTTTTTTTCTTTTTTTCAATTTATTGTTTATTTAATCAATGAGAAAACGTATCTCAAAGTGAAAACAACTGTAACATATTGCAATTGCTGTTATCATAATATCACTGGTAATCATCTCGCTAATGTTATTGATGCAATTATTATTATTTTTATGATCGTTAACATTATTATAGTCATCATGATAATGATAATGATGTAATTATTATAATTATTACTATTGCTCTTATCATTAGCATCACTACAATCATCATGTAATATTAATGATGATAATTGTGATGCTAATGATAATGTAAATAAGAGTTTACTGATGATATGAATCACTGAGATCTTTCCGTAATGATTTCAATCCAATTACTGAAAAAAGAAGGATTTTCATTTCAAGAATTATTATTTGTTGTGCAATGGAATGATTTTTTCTTGTGATTTAATTTCTTTTTTTTTAAATTATTAGTTCACTAATGCAATTGTTCTTTATATGAATAATTTTCATTTTTCATTTTAAGCTGGTAGTTTTAATTTTATTATACAAATAACAAAATTCTTTGTTAATGGTGTAATAAAAAAAAATGAATCACAAATGTAATACGGCAAAATATTATCAAATAGGCTAACAATAATTTACTTTTTCTGCAATATTTGATGATTGATGAAGTTTTAAAAGATTGGCAAAATTAGTTAATAAGCACAGTTGATAAGTTTTTAAAAATCTTTAATAATATGCATTATTGTTTTACTAAGCATAATAATAGGACTAAATAAAATAAGATTGTAAAAATATATGTTATTTATTTTATATTAAATTTCTCAATTTTGGACATGATGAATGATTTCAGATATTTTAGTCTTACAACTTGAATACTTATAAATTAAACATTATTTTGTCAACACTAATAAATCTCTTCAAATTCTGTTTTCATTTCTTTTTCTTTTATATACAAAAAAAAAAATCCTTTGCTGATATTATAATATTTCAAATTTAAGAATTTTTAATTAACCTGTAAACATCATAGTAGTAGCAATTGCTGTTGTTATCGCTGCCATCGTTGATGAAAATAGGGCGAAAAAGTAAGTCAGAGGTTTTAATAGCCAAAGAATTAGTGTGTTTATGTGGTAATAATGGTTGGTTAATTTCATCAACCGTTGAAACCAAAGCAACATCAGAAGATATAAGAGATGATAAGATTGATGAAGTGGACCGTATCATTTGTTGTATAATAATTTTAAAGGGAATAAACAAATGAAAGGAAATAAAAGAAATGAACGCAAGGAAAAAGAATGGAAAAATTAATTTTAACAAAGTAAAATTTAGGAAAAAGTAAAAGAGAGAGAGGAAGAGAAAATTTGATTAGTAAAATAGCAATTTTAATCTCATCCTGAAATATTATGTTTCATTTATTATGGCTGTCTGAGGAAAACTTTTATATAACGATTCAAATATTAGTAATAAATTACAAATTAATTCTTATAATTACTATTCATTTGAATATTTTCAGGCCTTTTTCGATGCGACTTATAAATAAATTCATAAAACCAATTTTAGAAGGAAGTTATTAGATAACACATTTACTTCCTAGAGATTTAGTTTTGCATATAATTGTGATTTTTAATTTTTTACATGGATGAAAAATTCACATTACAAAATATTTAGAAATCCAATAAAAATGAAGGGATTTATTTTTGTAACCAAACTTTTATGCTAATTTGTGTTTTATTTTATGCTTATATTAAATTTAATTATTGGTGATATTATAACTAATAATTTATTTGAAGTGATAAATATTTATTATTGGTGTATTTGTTTTATCCTATTATTGTTGTTATTAAACGTACATTAATATTTTTGATAATTTAGGAAAGAAATATCACAACATGTTGAGATTTTATTTTGTGATATTTTAAAGCAAAATGACTTACAGAAATACTAAATTACAAAATGTAGAAACTATCCTGCCGGAAATATTCTTTACTGAATCTGAGATGATGACATGAGGTGATCGATCAGGTGAACAGCAATACGGCAGATTATTTCCCGGAGTTTTATTTACTGTTTTATCTAGCATTACGTGGAATTCGAAATCAACACTCAAATACGTTTTTACATTAAGCCTTACATTACAGATATATCTTTTTCTAAAATGGAGAAAGTCAGGAAATGATATTGAAAGTTTAATTTTCAATAAATATTGCAAAATAAAATCAAATAGTGATATAAATTTTGAAAATTTTAATTTTTACCTAAAAGTATGTAAAAAAATAGAAATTGATAAATGTCGAATTTTCGGCTTATGTTAATTAACGATATATATGCTTAATTAGCTCCATATATGCATAAACGGTAATTATTATTGCAGGAATATAAAGAAAAGGAATTAAAAATGATAAGTAACAAAAAGTTTAGGGCCAGAAACTCATTAAGAAATTGTATAAATTAAAGGATTCAGGGTCATGAACTCTTTATGTATTTATCCATAAGTAATTAACGAATATATTCGGTTTAAAACGCAATGATAAAGTTATACAGTTGATGAGCAGCAAACAAATAGATTCAAGATGAGAAGCTCATTTTAAGCTTGCATACAACAATAGCAGAAATATAAGTTTGCATTTGAAACGAGAAGCATAACATAATATTAATAACAAAAAAAAAGTTGCCAAAAAGCTCCGCTATATTTCCAATCTTTTTAAATTTTTTAAAAGAAAAATGGCCTTAAAGTGAAAGTTTAGTTTGATGCAAAACAAGCAGCAAATAAGTTTGAACGACCCTTGGGATGTAAACTTTTTGAAAGAGACTATAATTTCATCATATTTTAATGCTTCGCTCCTTTCTCGCCCACTTCTTTTCTCTTTTTTTTTTCCTCTCTCTCTTTCTAGTTCAGTAAAAGAGCAAACAAAAACAAAAAAACATATACAAACATCTTTTTTTAGAAATTATCTATAAAAATTTCGCCAAAAAACATCAACTTTCATCTTGTTTTTGTTCCATTTTTCTATCTCTCATCCCATTCATTCCATTTATTCATTCCATTCATTCATTCATTCATTCATTCATTCATTCATTCCATTCATTCATTCATTCCATTCTTTCATTCATTCATTCATTCATTCATTCATTCCATTCTTTCATTCATTCATTCATTCATTCATTCCATTCATTCATTCATTCATTCATTCATTCATTCATTCCATTCAAAAAAACAACAACAAAAAAGAAGAACGAATTAAAACGATTATTGCCATTTAATTACAATCACATAGTTTGTAATCATAACAAAAATGCAATACACATAAAGACAGGGAGAGAGAGGGAGAAAAAAATAATTTGATACATAATTATACAAATTAGAGATATCTGAATCAAACTTAAATAATTTTGACGAAAAACGACGAAAGAAAAAAAACGGAAGACTGAAGAAAGCAAAAATGTATTAATGAACGAGATAAAATAATAAACAGGAAAAATGATTGACTTAATTATATTTTATGAACTTTAATTAAGATTATTACTATTATGTTTTTAGTATATATACATATCAAAAACATACTAAATAACAAAAATAAATAAAATGATAGTAATTTCAATAAAATAAAATAAGAACGAAGAAATACTTTCAATATGATCATATCATTAGATCATTAGATGTCTTTTTTTTAAGTTTCTCAGTAAAAAATCGTTTTCTATTTGGTAACATAAGTAAGTAATGATTGATTTTAATTTTTCTGAGCAAACAAGGTTGTTTATTAATAAACAACTGTTATCAGAAATGATTAATTTAAATAAATGATACACTCATATTAGATTACCGATTATTTGTACTTTTGTGCTATATGACTTATCTATTAATTGCACTAGCAGTTATACAAAGTTAAGCTAAATAATTAAATGAAAATAACAATGAAAGCTGATTATTGAATGGTTGTGTATTTCAACTGAAAAGTTCAAAAGAAGCACTCATTAAAAAAAAAGACTTTACACTCATTTGGACGTTGAATGAAATGAAAAAATGATCATTCCAATTTATATTACGATCAAATATAATAATAGAATAAATATAACAAAATGATTCTTTTTTTTTCCAAAAGTAAATCTAATCGTTTCTTTTTATATTCAGAAAAGAAAAAAGAAATTAGTAATGAATTGCATTGGAAAAAGTGAATAATTTTTTGAAATGTTTTCAATTTTATATGATAATGCGCGCTATTAGCCAATTATTAAAAAAAAAAAAAAAAAAAAATATGAATTTAATGTCCATGAATGTTTTGAAAAAAAATTATCAATTGCTTGAAAAGTTTCGTAAAAAAAAAAAAAAAAGAAAGAAGGCAAATTTTATTAATGTAATAGAAATAATAGAACTTCGTGCAAAACTACAGGATAAAATCCAATAAATTGATAGCACCAAAATTACTAGTAATTACATGGTGGCAAGCATTGATATAGTCTAAATTGTTCGTATAGTTACCAAACAGCTTATAAGTGTAGTTTACCTTGCACAATAGCCCAGGTAATTTGTATAAAATATTCAGAGTAAAAAATTTTTGAAATAGCACACAATTTTATAATATGCAAAAAGTAATAGCATTGCAAAAACTTTATGAAAGATCAAGAACATTAAATCATTTTATTACGATAATCAGGAAAATGCGCTGTTGTTTAATTATTTGATTGAACTATTAAAAGATAGTTGATTGAATCATTGGAACTAATTAATGGAAAAGAAGCGCACAAAAATTTCTGGAAACTATTTCAGGAACGTTTAACTCACCCCAGTTGCGCTCTATTTATCGAATAATTATTTTCCTAATATAAAAATAACTAAAACATAATAGTGAACTATTTCATAATATTAACATATCAGAAAAAAAAAAAGATACACCAAGAAGTGAACTGTTACAAAAAAATAAATCATAAATATGAAGTTTATAAAATTTTCTTCAATTTCTTTAAAAAAAAGTTCTTTTTTTTTGCCGGAAAAAGAGAGGGATATTATAGATTATTTTTGTGTTAGCAAATAAATAAATGAATAATATTTTAAGCATAAATTATACTTAACTTTTTGATGAAGATATGAAAGAAGCAAATAAACAGGAGGCGAAAATTAGAGGGAAAAGAAGAGGAAGGATGTTGTTATGGGCTAGTTAGTCTTAGTCTTAGTCTAAACCTATAAAATTATTTCTAAACAAGGCGAACAAGAAAAGCCTATCATCCTTACAACCTCTCTCTCTTTCTGTCTTTCACTCTCCCTGTCCTCTTTTCTCTCTAAATTTTTTCTTTAATCAGTGATATATAGTTCTTTTTTCTTTTACTTTCTTTTTTTCTTATAAAACTTATTCAAGCATAATAATTAGAACCAAAAATAAAAAAAAAGGAAAAAGAAAAAAAAAATTGGAGAAAAGGAATGAAAAGAAAAAGAGAAAAATGAATGATTGACAATCCAATTTTACCAAAAAGAATTTTTTTTTTCTTTAAATTTGCTCTTAGAACTATTTAAAAATGAAAAAAAAAGAAAGGAAATTTTTTCATTCTAATAAATTAATTGATACTTCACAAGATGTTGAAAATTTGAGAATTTGAATAAATTTGTTGTACTGAATGAATAGACCTGAATACAATATAGTGATGTGAATAATGAAATTATGAATGAATATATGACACAGATAATTATTAATAAAAAATAACAATATAATGAAAAGATATTATAATTAATATATTATAATGAATAAATAACTATAGTGAAAAAAATCAAATTTAAATAAAGAGAGGCAATAAGTTTAAAAGTAAAAGTAAAATGTTGATGATAAAGGTTTGTTGAAAAAAAAATAAAAATCTTTCAATTTATACGCTTGGCATTATCAATATGATTACCAAGATAAGTTATCAATATGTAAGATTACCAAGATAAAGATTTTTAAAACTTTTTTTTTTTTTGTAAAAATTCTAATTATTTATTTATTTATGTGAAATATTCAGTTAGTGGACAATTAATAAGAATAATAAAAAAAGTGTTGAACTACGTTTCTGAGCATTTTAAAACATAACATTATATTAATTTAACTCTGATTTTTTCCTTTCTTTCTTTTTTTTTTTTTTGAAAATTTAAAACCTACCGTCGACGATAATTGATGAAATTTCTTGCACAGTGATCATTTTCGTTTGAAATTTGTTCGTGTTCTTTCTCCGCTATCTCATCATTGCTCATCATATGAGTTGTTTTATCTTTCTTCTTCTTTGCTATCTGTAATTTATTAATTTCTCACCTTTGATTTTTTTATTTTGTTTTAATATTTTTTTAAAATCCAAAAAAAAAAAAAACATCGAAATTAGCTAATAAGCAAATAATTTATGTAAATTACATGCATTGTCAATCAAAATTATTTATTATTTGAACATTTTGTTTTATTTTCTGTTCAAAAAAAATTTTTTTTTTTTTTGATTTTATCTCTCAAAAATGTATAATGTAACTATTTCATTTTAGATTAATATTCTATTTGTTATCAAAAAAAAAAATCAAAAATTAATTCTCTTTATGAATATGCTAAAGCTTACGAATAATTTTTGTAAACTAATCAAATCGATTTTAGAAGTTAATTTAATACATTTATTCACTTTATCCATTTTTTTTAGGAGGTGGAGCAAAGATATATGATAATACAATGATTGCTGTTAAACAAAAAAAACGAGAAAAATATGCACTAATTGCAATTATTACATTTTTTTCTTTGTTTTTTGGAATTTCAGATTTTTTAAATTTCAGGTTTGCCCTTTTTTCACTTAAAGTTTTATTAGTATCGATTGCACTAACATCACTTTTTTGCTTATGATAATTTAAATGAATACAACAAAATTAAGACTGAAATTCATTTGTAATTTATAATTTTAATATTTCGTTCAATTATTTTCCACAAAAACTTCCCCTGTTTTGTTTATTTTGTAATTTCTTGCTTTATTTGCAGCTTAAGATTATTTTAAAGTTAAAGTTAAAAATTAAAATTTACATCATTAGTGGGTATTTTTTCTGAATATATAATAGTAATTGAAGTATATGATTTATTTGTATTTTTCTTCTCTCTTTTTCCATCAATAAAAAAAAGTGATGACAATAAAATAATTAATAATTATTTTAATTTATTTCTGATAAGTTACATATACATATATTTATCTGTTTACTTACTTTTATGCCTAAATACTTTCTTATTTTAATTTTACAATATTAATTAAATTAAGTACAATAATTCTGACTTCAAGTACAACCGCATGAAAATTGAACGATGGCATTTCCTCATGCTTTGGCCCCCGCTTTGGGGTTATCTGTCCTCGTCTTACGACTGCATAGTATTCTTGCTGATTCCGATAATTTCGTTGATTGACGACGCATTCTTCCATATCGTCGTCATATTGCTTATCAACTAAAATAAATTGAAATAATTTTTTATTTTTTCTAGAAGAAAAAAATTAAAATGAAAAGGAAAGAGAGAAAAGAGTAAAAGATAAAAAAGTAAAATGGATAAAGAAAAAAATTTTTTTCTGCTTCATTATTAATTATTGCTATTGTATTTAAGCTAAAATTAACTAAACGATTAAATAGATTAAAATAATTTTAACTTGTTAATTTTTACTTTTAACACTTTAGTTCTGTAAGTGTAAAGAGAGGGAAAAAATAAAGTTAGCCATAAAATGTCATAGCTTTCCTTGCAAATCATAGGCTTAAACAATTGACAGGCACGAAAAGGAAAAGAGAATAGATGATTGCTAGGCTATTAGGCTTATGAAATGCTAAGACCATTTCTTCCCCCGCTATTCACAGAATATTGTGAAAATGATAAATGCACACCGTTAATCACTTAAATCTCTTCTTTATCATTTTTTGCGGAGATGAAAGACGGAGGGCGAAAAGGGAGAAAGAAAGAGAAAGGAAAGAAAAAGTTTCATTAACATATTCAAACTTTTTTTTAATATCTGTATACAATAGTCATAGGAAAAACTTATTTATAGCTTTAAAATTTGAAATTTTTTTTTGCAATATTGTTCTATTAGCATTCATGTAACTCAAATTTTATTTTATTTGATTTCGACTACAAGGATGAAAAATAGAGTTTAATGTTTGAATAAATGTTAAATTGAAACAAATTCAGCGATTAAATGAGCATTGATTTAAATCTGAATAAATTAGTTAATTTGATTGGAATAAGGAAATGATTGATTAAATATTGTTTCAATAAGAGTTAATGAGGAATTGTATATATATTAGTATATATAGTGAATATTATTTATTAATATTGTGATTAATTTGACTAAATATATATAACTGTTGTAACTAATAATGATTTCTAACCGTGTATTTTGTTCCAGTCAATTGTACGATTTTCCAATTTTCTACGTTGCTTTATTCTGCTTGTATTTGCTAAAATTAAGTAAATTACGTGAATGAAAAATTTGAAATATATTAATTAGAAACAGAATTGATAATATCATCCTTCTTTTTCATGTTTAATATAATAAAAACTTGATCAGAAAAAAAAGGATAGAAACAAATACAATTCCTTATCAAATTTATCAGTCGTCAATAAAATTTAATATCATTTCATCTCTTAGTATATTTCTTTATAATCAATACTTTGTTAAAAAATCTTTTAAAAAACCGTAGAATCATTTTTTTTGATAAATTAGTATGTTTAATTTGTTATACTTTTCAGCTATTTAATTACAATTAACTTTAATCTACATATCGTTAAAAAAAGAGCTAATGATACATTTTGATAGTAATTTATTTTATTCTGCATTTTTCGGTTGCTTTTTTCATGCGATGAAAACATAAATCGTTAATTAAAAGGTTTAGAATGGAAAAATTTGAATTATATTTGGTAAATGTTAGAATTAATTAGCAAGCCAGAGTAAAGTATGATAAAATAAATTCTGATAAAAAAAAACAAATAATATGTGAAAGAATGAGAAAAAAAATCAGTTTATAATGATTAATTCATCAAATTATTTTAATTAATACTACATAAATTATTGCTACATTAATTTTCATTCGATTTCGAAGCAAAAAAATGGATTTTGGGGCAAAACTAAGGATTGAAAAATGGAAAATGAAATAAAATCATACCAGTATGAACATGCAATTAAGTAATGAATCAACCACTCAAATTAGTTTCTTCCATTTCTTTCTCTTTTAATGATCTTTGTTTCTTTGTTTTTTTCATATCAGTAGTCCTTGGGTGCTTTTTTCCGTAAAAAGAAAGAAAGCAAAAAACTATTTTACTAATTGTTTTCAAAAGAGTTAAGAAAGTTTGTTTTATTTAAAAACAACATTTTTAGTTATTAATGATGGATAAATCTTATTATATTGTCTGATCGAAAAGCAAATAATATATAAATAGTATAATTGAGTTATAGAATACTATTAAATCGTAAATTCACCAAAATGAGTCTATCAGTTGTCAGGGCCTGAAATTTGAAGCCAAAGAAGAAGGAGATAAGGAAAAAAATTAATAGAGAAAGAGATCATTCTTCGGATTTAAGGCTAAATTATCACTTAACACATATGATCGTTGAATTTAAAGATTTTTTAGCACTATAAGCTTATACACGTACCCAATCACGTTTTAAACGTAGTTTATTTCATTGAATCGTTCAATAATTAGTTATTACATGGTGAGAGAAGGCTATAATTATGCAAAAAAAGGGAAAAAATTTTTCAAACAATAAATTTTTCAATTTCTTTTTTTCTCACTGAATTGTAAATATTTAAGAATTTGAAATTATTTTTTTTTGTTGTTATTCAACTTGTACTTTTGAAGATTAAAGTCCTTTAGTTGAGAAACTTAAATCTTTCCCACTCATTTGTACTTTTAAGAAATTTAAACTGAAATGTAAAAATTCAGAATGAAATTAGACATGAAATTGGAATTCATAAATTTTCATTATGTAACATTTTTGTGGTATTTGTCCTTTAATCTATTTTAATATTTTATAATGAGATGAAATTTGCAGAATTGCTAGTCGTTTTAGGCTTACGATTTTAGACTTTTAACAACAGGAAAAAAAATTGATAGTAAAATCTATGATTTTAATTTTACAAGAATAAAAAAGGAACAAAATAATCAGAAAACATTATATTATTGCTTTTTTTCCATAATTTCAATTATTGATTGTAACTTCAGCCTTAAACTTTTACTACTAAAATTCTTAAATTTTAGGCAGAGATATTAATGTCACTTTTTTTAAATCAGTAAAATCAAAAAAAAAAAAAAAAAAAGAAAATAGTGATGCTTATGCATATTTTACAACTCATATTTAATTTAGCTTAAAAAAGTTAAAATAAATTTGGTCAATATTTAAACACAGTAAAAACACTGTCTTTTTCTTTTTTTTTTTTTTTAAAGGAAAATGTTACATAACAATTGTTAGTCCTAAAAAAAAAGAACCAAAGAAAAAAGAAAGCAAAGGCGGAAACTGCACACATTTTACTTAATACGTTATCATCAGTGTATATTTTAGATTAATTATTAAATTGTAATTAAGCAGGTTTGATGTGTAGACAATGATAACATGTAATTAAAAATGAATTGCATGCAAATTTTGCGTGACAAATCAGTGATTAATTGAAATTAAAATAAGAACATTCTTTTTGCTTTTTTTTCTTTCGTTCTTTCATTTTTTTTTTTGTTTTTTTCTTTTCCCATATCAAATATTTAAAAAAAAAATTTTTTTTTCTTTGAAAAGATAGATTGAATAATATAAATGAATATTACTTTAGGAAATCAATAAAAGGTTTAGCAAAAAGCAGAAAGAAAAGAAGGGCGGAGGAAACATTTACAGGCCTATTATTAAATAAGCCTTACAGGGTTTACTTTCATTTCTGATAGAAAATGACAGATGGAAAGGTTATTGCAATAGATAATTGCATTTTGTTTCATGCATTTGCAAGTTATGTCAAGAATGTCAAATAGGATGAGCGATACGATGAATTTAATTACTGTTACTAAGAAAAAAAATTCTTTTCTTTTTTTCCACAAATAATTTCTAATTTGATTTTTGATATAAATAATATTTTTCTGTAAAAAAAAAGAAAAAAAAACGAAAAAACAAAAAAAAAAGGAAAAATCATTGATTAATCCTGGAGGAAAAAGTTTAAAAACAACGAAAAAAGTTTTTCATTTACTAAGAATTTTCGTCATTTTTTTCACTCATTCTTCAAAAAATCTTAGTTATTGATGTCATATATTAGTAGAATTAATAAATTTTTTTTAAGAAAGAAAGAATTAATTAGGAGGAAAATGTTCATATAATTACGCTAGGAAGTATTTTCATACATTTTTTAAAAAATTTTTTATCATAATCGATAGGAATATTCAAATTTCATGCATATACCCTCTAAGAGATATAATATGATAATTTTATATGGATATTCTTAGTTAAACCAAGTTTTAAGTCATTTTAGATAAGCCTTGAATTTCGGTTAGTAGGATGACAAAAATTATAAATGACAAGATTTTAGAGTGAAAACGAAATGAAATTAAGAATTAAAAAGGAAGTATGAATGAGTATTTTTGAGAAATGTAAAGAAAATATCGATTATTTATAAATATATCTGTATGCAAAATTATATCAAAGAATATTAGATGAACTACTATAGATTAAATATTCAACTATTAAATATTTATATTTACTAAAACAGGTAAAGAAACTACAACGCATACATATATATAAACAAAAAATAATAGCAATAAATTATATGTAAGTATGAATTAGAAAGATTCAAAAAAAAAAAAAATTTTAAAGAAATAGGGCTAAAGGGAAATCATTTTATTCTTTTTCTCAGTATTTTTCCTCTTCATCTTCTTTACTCCTCCTTCTCTCTCTCTCCCCCTCTCTCTCTCTCTGTCTTTCTCGTAAATTGGATTTCATTGTATGTAATGTACGAATGTATTTGTAACATTTATGAAAAATTTTTTCAACTTTTTCGAGCTGTTTAAAATTTTAAGTTTTATAATAAAATTCTTCTGACAAAACTGACGGAGCAAAAATAAATGATTCAAATTTGAAATTTTAAAAACTTTTAAATGTGTTAAAATTAACGTAGCGAAAAAAATGATTTTCATTACAAATTTTGAAAAAAAAAAAAATTGTACGCTAGTCATTTTTAATCAATCATTGCATAAATTTTCCTAATCAAAACTAACATTTTAATCAAATTTCTTCAAAGCAAAAAAGCAAAAAAAAGGCGAAAATTTATTTGCTTTCAATTTAATAAGAACTAAAAAAACTAAGTTTAACTATTTTACGTGAAATTTACTAAGACTAATGTGCCATTAATTAGTCACGTCTATCGTTTCATCTGAAAATTTTGACAGGAGATGAAATAGAGTAAAAATATAACT